CGGCGTTTTGGGCCAGGGTGGGAACTGCTTGGGGACGGTGCGGAAGTGAGGCCAGTGGCCGTTACGGGTGAGGGTTGTTGCTTTTGTAGCGATGGCGCGGAAGTGCTCTACTTCTTCTGGGGTGAGGAGGGAGGGGATGACGACGAAGCCATCCCGTTGAAGCGCGTCGAGGTAAGAGGTTGAGCCTGTCATTGTGGTAGATGGTATTCCTGTCAATGGTGGCCCTGTTTCGAGTAAAGAATCTGCTGTTGCTGTTTAGCTGTCGGGTGGGGTAGGGTGGGTTGAGCAATCAGCTTATATGTGTTGCTGGGCACAGCGTGCACAGATTAGGTATCATTTTCCATTATCAAACAATGTCGTATATCAAATACTACCTTGTTGAGGCCATGCCACCCTACATGGTAATCTGTTATAATCTTCAGTTGTTGATAACATTGTGTGGAGTCGACTCATAATAACAATCATACAATTACTCTGGAAATAGTAATACGCATCTACCCCGCGGCAGAAAGAAAGCGGGGTTTTATGGTTACATTGCTATGACTAAAGTATGAACTATGAAGTAAAGAAGTGTCTGATAGAGAATATCAACAGTGTGGAATAATACGCTACCAGACTATATACCTCTCAGTCATGATTGATCGTTTCACTATCGAAATTTACTGCATAAAATACATTGTTGATCATCATTTAGCTGGCTCAACTCCACTTCCCACCGTCTGATTGATAGTGGTGATGATGATCAGCAGGAGCGAAGACCACCATGAGAGTTATATTTAGATCAATCAAAAAATAGATGCTGGAGTGTTTTTAGAACGCATATCAGACAGGAGGATGCTATCACAATCTGTCAGGATTGTTCCTCACCTATCCTGTCTATCTCTGTTGTGCATCTTCTATTTTTCCTATAGTAACAATGCAAAATGGAGTGAGACGAGAATACCCTGGTACAGTTGTTGGAGTCAACCAAGGTAAATTACTAGCAGTAATGCCCCACGGTCCCAGTTACATAGCTGTGCTCTATTCTCCGTACTAAGGCGCCTACTGCTGTAGTCTAGTTGATACTGTGGGTCAACAGAGCCAGCTTGCCCCTCCTTTGCCCGTGAGAGTCTGCGTTTTGTACGTCATATTCCATCATTACTTTTTACTGGTCTGTTACAAATACGCTCTGTCATTTCATAAATTTTCAATAATAATGGGGCTGTCCTAGTTTGGACTAATTGTTCCCTAATAGACTAAGAAATTGTTCTCGCAGCTGGCCTGATGTTAGTTGGCAACTGAAACAACAGCTTCAGCTGTCATCGTCTTCTTACATGCTGACTAGTCGGGGCAGTTTCTTGTTTTTCTGTTTGCATCTTCAGGACTCCTGCCGTCTGATTATTTACTTTCCATATAACAACGACTAGCTGAATACTTGAAAATTGGAAGTACGATATTAGATACCCCACACTTTGTGTCATATTCTCCGGTTCTTGACGCCGTTTGTCTTTCGCTGAGGTACAGAGTTATATACACGTTGTTTGGGCTATGACTCGCACAATGAGTCCAGGCTTCAATGCCCTCATTGTGGTGGCATTACTACTGGTTTTGCTACCCTCGCAGGTTCATGCCTTTGGTGCTGGCAGTATGTCCACTTCCCTCATCTGCTTGATCACCTACCGTTGTTCTTCGCTAAAATCAATAGACATCGCTTCTATCTCAGCTGTTGAAGGCAAAAACTGGCGACATGGCGACATCGAAGATATGCTCAAGACTATTGCCTTTATCAAAGGCCACAAGTGGACGTCTATGATGGTTAAGCGCGTTTATTTTGGAAACTGGCTGCGCGACTAGTGAGTAGTCTGTTTCTTTGGGTTGAGAATGCGAAAGCAGTTACTAACTTGCTTCTTAAGCTCGCAGGCAATGGACGTCGGTACTCTGAAGAATCTTCCCGCCGATACCATCCGCATCCTCGTTTGGATCCTTTCTTTCTTGACTTTCGGTTATGCGACGGCTGAGTTTGAGGTCACCTCCGACAGACTCGGGGTATATCGCCCCGAGGAGCATATTGAGTACGTCAATCGGTAGTTCTGCTCGATGCCTCTACGTCTTTGTGCTGATGCTTCTGTCCAACTCTTGTAGCAACCCCAAAGACTATGCGGATAATCAGGATGCACGTCAGTACGACGCTCGACTCCGTGGCCCCATCCGCCAGGTTGAACTTGACATCGACCCGCAGACTGGTATGAAGAACTACATCGCGAACGAACGAGGAGACTGGACCACGAGTACTGCCTACATCAAGTATAGTCTGGCGAGGAGCATCCACTACGGAAGATTGTATACCAGCGGTGGCCACCACAAGGGGAAGGAGGAAGACCTTTGTGAGGCTCTGCGATGCTTGGGTCAAGGTCTACATACTCTGGAGGACTTTGCAGCGCACACAAACTACTGCGAACTTGCGCTCCGCGAAATGGGCTTTCGCAATGTGTTTCCGCACACCGGCGCAGCCACCGAAATGAATATCCGTGGTCACCATGTCTTTCCCCTTGTGACAGGCACCTTTGGTATGGTGGACTTCTTCCATTCCGTGCTTGGAGAGGCCACAGATCACTTCACCCAGTCAGAGGTTAATGAGATGGATATCGCGCTGGGGGATGCTCAGGCGAACTCTTCTGGCGGATCTCTCTCTGCTTTCACCGGATTGTTGGGCAAAATCCCAGGGACAAAGGACCTCGTCGACCAGGCTGAGGAGCTCAAACGTCGCTCTGAAGCTCAGCAGTATGCCAATGAACACAGTGGTCAGAGGACGGGATATGTCGCTCACGAGACATCTCGAGGATTGGATGATTACGGTTCGGCTACCGGTCGCGACCTGGGAGAATCGCTCAGTAGAGCTTCGGGGCCTAGCCAGCCCTCCACCTCCGGAGGCCCTGCTGGGCCTGGTTTGCCAGGAATGCCAGACTTTGATCCGAAGAAGACTGTGGCTCAGATCTACCCCATCCTTGAGTTCAGAGATAATGTGGTGCGGAAGCTTTCGTCAATAATTGAGAAGATTCCGGGTCTAGAGACGCTGGTGGAAAAGGTCACGGAAACCCTGACTGTATTCGTCATGTCACTTCTTGCTCCGTTCATCCGTCCCATCATCAGCGCCGCTTCCAATTCATTACAAGCTGGTTCGGCCGGTGTCATTGATGCCTCTGGCCAGCATCAATTTGAACCATGGACAGATCCTCACTGCACCGACCCCACCCACTCGATGCTTTCCAAGGACCACTTCTCCAATATTCTCAATGAACCTGCTGGCCGAGTCGCCTCAGCTATCCTCAAATATGTCGCTCCTCGGGTGTTGTACGCCTGGGAGCATCCCGAAGTCCCAGAGCAACAGGTTCTGGACGACTGCCTTCATGTGTTCCACCATCCTGCTTTGCGCGACATGCATAATGAGGCACACCGGACCATGTTCGAGGCCGTCCAGAATTGGGCTCACTCCAGGCCGGACCGAGGTGCAAGCCTCAATGATATTTTGAGCTCTGAGGGTGTTAGGGCAGGCAAGAACAACGGCGGTCAAGTCGGACACTCGCATGCCAGCACTGGCTTTGCTACTCTGGGAGGTAACAAGCCTAGCCATGCCACTCACCAGCAGCATCCTACCCACCAGCAGCCACATCCCCAGCAACAGCAGTCTTCCTCCCTCCCCTGGGATCAGCTCTCAAAGCTCCCCATTCCAGGCATATCCAAGCTTAGCAAGTTGGAGGGTGCCTTCTCTAGCTTCTTGCCGGGTAGCTCATCAAGGGAGGAACGTGTTGAGAATGTAGCTCCCCAACATCAGGCTCCATTCCAGCACCAACAGCCCGATCGTCCATATCAACCACATGGCCAGCTGCCTTACGAGTCACACTCCCAGCCACATCATCCCCAGTACGATCAGCCGCCTGCACAGCAGCATCTCGGTGGTGGGTACAGTGGACCCCACGGTGGCTACCAGAACAACCCTTACGGGGACCAATATGGCCACCCACCTCCGGGTCCTGGCTACAGGCCCCCGGAACATCAGCACCAACAGCATCAACACCAGCAGCATCAGCACCAATCACATGGGCATGGCCAAGGGCATCACGGTTATCCCGGGTCAGGCTATGATAATAGATACGGTTCTGGATATTGATGCTGAGATGTTGCGATTGTGATCGTGGGTTGATCTTGATCGCTATCCGGTGTATAGATCTACCGCTCATTGCTGGAAATATATCTTGAAGCATCTGTTACTATGGCATGTGTACTAGCTTTTCTACCACCCAATAAAAATCAAGAACATGGACATATTCATACTCAAAAGAAAGCTATTTATTCACATCAAAACTCTCAGCCTGTAATTTTCTACGTGTCTGTCGGAATTATATTATGATCTGTATCACTTGAGGACTGTCATGCATATTCCCGTTCTGCTATTAGCGCAATTAGAGCATTGCCTTTCAACAAGCGCCGCCGGGCTAGCTCAATCGGTAGAGCGTGAGACTCTTAATCTCAAGGTTGCGGGTTCGACCCCCGCGTTCGGCTTTCTTTTTGGCTTCATATTTTTTTTCCCTCTCCTTGTTGCTTTTCTCGATGAACACACTTGGAGAGCCCATGGTCTATAAACTAGATGCGTGACCGTCCTAGAACCAATTACGTATACGGTTGTGTTATGTGTCTATGATGAGTCCAGGTATCAAAGGTAGATTCAATACTCCGAACATTTAACAGTACCAGCCTACCATACACGAGCATGCCATGGCAGAGGTTCAAAGTGCTATTAAGCCTTCACAGACCAGCTGAAGAACAAAGGGAAACTCACACAACCACTGCTGACCGACCAGTCAACTCCGAAAAGCATACTATATACAAGCATCCAGTGCAAGGCGAACGTCAGACGTTGCACAATAACAAAACCGCTGTCTAATGCATGGCTCGCCATAAGCGTATTATATTATATCATCATCATAATTTGCATGTTCAATGGAACAAGCAAGGACAGGAGGTCAAAGTTTGGTACCCTCCCGTCCGCTATCGCTCGGTCTCCGGGGTCTGAGCAAGCCCGAGGATGGACCAGACGTAGACGGCCCTAGCTGGCCAGTCCTGCTCTCATCATTGCTATTGCTACCATTATTTCCGCGCACACCAATAGTTCGATGGCCCTGGTGTAGACGAGGATTCATCAGCCACTGGATCTGCATGCGAATACTACTGACAGCAGCATTTGTGTGAGCCATGTCTTCCTTTATACGGAGACACTCATTCATGATCGCCATGCTGGCTCGAGCGTCTAAATCGGTAATTGCATGCGAAAGCTGACCAACTTCTTCTCGAAGAGACTCGTGCAGGGCGAGTAGATATGTCGTAGTGGCGGCATTAGAAGATATTGCACTAGAGTGATCAGCGTGTGATTGATTATCCGACAGGCGCGGAGAGCCTGATGACCCTGACTGCCCCGAGGAGCTTAATCGGGTCTCTGCGGCGTGTCCAGGAAGGGCATGCGAAGCATCAAGTAGGGTAGAGCGAATATTGGCGATTCCGTCCTCAAAGATCTCATTTCGCTGCTGAAGATGGCGGATGGTCAATTCCAGGGAGTCGAGCCGGGCATTCTGAGCTTCGAAATAAGGGCCCATAGCGATGAGTGGACAAATTTGCTCATGTGTCGCCAGGTCGGCCCGCTTGACTTTAACGGGGCATCCATATTTGGATGCGGCACAAGCATGTATTGCCTCCGGGCAGGTTTCAATATGATCCCTTAACACTTTTCGAAAGACTGTTGTTTGACAGTCGGGACAGGTTGTTCTCAAGCTGGGGCACAATTCCTTTACATGCTCCTGGATAAACCGGAAAAGAAATACGGTTAACCACAAAATAAGACGATCGTCAGGGTATAGTACGAACCTCGTAATCCTGCTCCATCACCTCCTCCTCGCAGCGAGAGCACTGGTGCAGCTCATGCATGCATTTTTTATCGGGACTGAGATCCTTCTTCCTCGTCTTCTTGTCGCAAAGTGTCCCGGGGCAATCCATGAGCCTATACCCACAATATTTATCGACATGAGCCTGAACATGACCTCTCGGTACAATTTCCTTGCAACCCTCGCTCGAAAATGGGCACTTTACTCGTACGTCGTCACACATATTGATCAATAGTCGAGGTACATTGAGGTAGACATCTCGAGTCGGCGTGCGGCAGCTCGGACATGTGAAATCATCTCGACCAGCGGCAAACGTGGTAATGGCGGAATTCAAGCATTTTTGGCAGAAAACATGATCGCACTGCAAGCGAACCGGTCGAATAAAGGGACAGTGGCATATCGCACACATAAGATGGTCGTCATAATTGGAGACATACTCCAGAGCACGCAGGTCAACGATCTCGTGGCGGTCGCAGATCGACTCCATCATCAGAAGCTCCTCGAGGTTCATAGTCGGCAAAAGTGTCAGGTATCTTCGCCTTCAGTCAAACGGCTCCGTTTAATAGGGGTATGCAAGACACCGCAGGATTCAGGTGTGACCAAAAAGAGAGTTATCAAGAAATGATCGTCTGTCGAGTTGCCGTGGAGGTCTGAAGATGAAACGATAACTATGACAGCAACCCATCAGGGTCACACGGTGGCTGCAGTTGAATTGGAGATCTCTGTGTGATACGTAAAATTGCTGGATGAACTTGAGGCTTGCAGACGACGCGAAAGAGGAATGTTGAGAAAAGGACCGAAACAGCAGCGGATGGATGGAAAGAGGGTGACCACCAGCGATTGCCATTATTATTGCGGGGGGCAGATGATGCGGAAACGGCAGATCAATCCGTCGCCGGCCGAGAAGGCCTCATCCAGTCCATCCATCATTGTCAACTACTATCCCCGTCAAACAACTTTATCCAGGTCGCGAAGTTTCCCCCTTTCACTTCCACCGTCTGTATCCACCGTCAAATCAGCTTCTCATAACAGAGGCCCCTGCGTGACCTGTCGCTGACGCCTGCGCCGCGTTCCTCCTGTCGCATTCCATTCCCCGGTAGTCAGCCTCAGATCGTCTCCGCATTATTGCCTCATCAGCGCTGGGTGTCCCGGTCTCATCTTCCAGGCTTCCCACGGTCGTTATACCTGTCACATACCTCGCCCGAATCGAGGCCGCAACCGCCTTTTCAAGATGCCGAACCCATCTCAGTTATTCCTCCTTGCTGATCACATCAAATTGTCGTTGTTGGAGCGACAACGAGCGATCTCACTGAATCTGGAGCCCAATAGTCAGGATGGAGAAATCTCCCGCTCTTTAGAGTCTCTACGCGATGGCATTGAATCGGTAGAATCGGAAGTTTCGCGTCTGGAGGAAGCCAACGACGATGGCGTCACTGATCTTAAAGATCAGCTCCATCATCTGCAATCACAATATCGGGACCTCTCATCCCAGTTTCACGAACAAGACGATTCGGTCTTGGACTCGGATTTCAGTAATGTCAAAAGCTCGTCTCCCGACCTGAAACAGCCGATTCCACAGCATCCACCTTCCAAGTCTGTCCGGTTTATGGATTCCGCAGCGGAAGAGGCTGATGAAAATCGTCGCAACCTCTTTCAGCCATACCGCGACTCGCCTTCTCCAAGTCTGGACCACTCCAATATGTCCAATCAACAGATTTACGACCATCACGCTGAGACCCTACGCGAGCAGGATGAACAGTTGGATCGGCTTGGGGAGTCAATCGGGCGACAGCACCAGCTCAGCATTCAGATTGGCGACGAGCTGGAAGGACACGTCGCACTGCTTGATGGCATGGATGGTGATGTCGACCGGCACCAGAGACGATTGGATGGCGCGAGGAAACGGCTGGATAAGATCAGAAAGAAGGCGGGTGAGAACTGGAGTATGATGACCATCATTGGTCTGATTATCATTCTGGTCATTCTGATTGTGATCTTGAAATGAGCGATTGGCATATATATCCGGATGGTCTTATGGTTCATCTACCCCCTATACGAATACTTGCTATTCTAAGATATGACCTGGTGTTAAGGCGAACATGGCGTCTGTCTGCTTCTTCTCCGCGATGTTTGGAACTCCCCATACATGGTATCCGAGCCTCCCTTGTGCGCTAGATGGAATTGTCTTACCTCGATACAATTTATTACGCTCCTTGATTGATGCTTTATCGATATCCCTTTGTCGTTGATATAAACTGTTGATCTGATATCGTTCATCCATTGCATTCATGGCATATTTTCTTAAAATACACGACAACATGCAAACTCCCATGAATTAGCGAATACCCCAACACCCGAATCCAGAGTCACCTTCCACAGCCGAAGCACTAGATAAGAGGAATCTATTGAGACTTGTTCACAGGGCCACTTCTGTTCGGCAGATCCTTGGTCCGACTTTGGAGTGATTGGAAGTCCTTGTCGTCGCTGTCAAGCTCGCCGCGGTCTGCCTTGACCTAGTACCAATTATCAGTCAATGTTTTACTCCCGACGAAATCGACTGGCTCTTACCGATGCCTCACTGTTGCTAGCAAGCTCGCCCTTCCACTTCGCCTTGCCCTCCTTAGTACTCTTCAACTGATCTTGCTTCTCAGCCTCGTAGTGGGAGTCCAGATTATCGCGGTCTGCGCTCTCACATTAGTCAATTGCAATTTGAGGAGCAGATAGACGGATGAAACTGACTCTGATCCGACTCTTTCAAGCCCAGGCGAGCGCCGGAGTTGTGGAAAGCCGAGACGGCCGTGTAGCCTGGTCTGATGGCCACGCGGGGGTTGATCGATGCACGTACGGAGGTGAGGAACGACATGATGATTTGCGGGATGTGACTCTGCTTGAGAGTTCCGTTAGTATACAACTTTTGCTGCGCATGAGTGATATAGTCTAGTTGTGTGGTGCAAGTAATATCCCAAAGACGCTGTTCGCAATTGAATGGTGGGAGGCAAGAGTATTGCTTCAGTATCAATGGCTCCAACTCACCTTCAATGTGAACCAGAATAAGACAAATATATATACTGTTTGTGTCGGATATATACTAGTAGGAAAGATGAAATGTCACTAAATCAGAAGTGAAGCACACATCAGTAGCGGGAGACGAGACGACTTTAAAAGTAAAAGCGAAAACGCATACGCAACGCCCAAAGAATGCCATCCACCTCGGCCAAGCTTGACTGGATCCCTCGGGACGATAGTAATCACGATAATTATCACTGCAGCGATCCTCTGCTCCCCTGGGTCTTCTCCATAGGGGCGACGAAAATGCCCATTGCGTGTGTGTCAATGATGACGTCAGTGCTACTCAATCGACCAGCCATCTTGGGTTGGACTGGGGAATGGACGAAGGGAACTTCATTATTAGCAATAATTTGTCTATCTATAGCAGTCAGTCTGTTCTGGTATGGTAAGTAGATGCTCTTGTGGTCTAGTTACCTCTCTGGTCGAGAGCCCGTCTTTACAGACATGTTCTTTTGCTGCTTAACCAGGTAACGACGTTGATATATCCTGTCGGCTGGTCATCCTCAAAACACCCACTTTATCATGCCCCTCTGGCAAGTAACAGTGTAGGCAATGACATCATGTATACAATAGGCTTGAAACTGGATTTCGTGTCATGTTCCATGCATCAAGGCACATATATTGTAGGATAGCCTCTGCAATGCCCGTCTCTAGTAAATCTACAGACCCTTAACTTATAGACGTGCCGGATGCTTTCAAATGCAATCGCCCACGCTTGCTTTTAGCTGGTCCATGTCGAATCTTAACAACCGTCGGAACTGGACCTTGCGTCCGGCAGCAAAGACACGGTCAAGGAGAGAAGCTGAGAATGGCAACCTGAAGAGAGGCTTTAAAGAATCATACATTTGAATGATGGTAAGTACTCTCCGGGAGAAGTTATGACAGAAGTAACATCCAAACGAACCAACGTGGAAGCATAGAGAAAAACTTTAAGAAGTGCAGCTTCGACCAATGACACAGCAACGGACCGAAACTTTTTTTTCTTTGAAAGGTAAGTGCGGCATGGTCTATGGCTTTCCAGCCAGAGATCAATCTAGGCCAGCTGATCAATTGCAGCGGAGCAATGAGCACCGCCAGACTCCGACTCTCAATCAATTTACAGGAAAGAAGAGAGAGAATCCAAAGAAGATGAAAAGAAAAAAATAAAAATGAAACAATTGCACGGACATATGGGAACAACGCCCGACGAGAGTATGGATGTCACAGACAGAAATCCCAATCAGAACCAATGATATCAACCCAACAATGCAGACGTATATCGTTTCCGCCTTTCTAATCCCTTTGAAGCATGAGTATTCCGTCCCGCCCAAAAATCAATAACCCCAATAATAAGCAATATCCGAGGATGAATCGGTAGAAACCTGAACGTATCTGACACAGTCGCCATAGCACACCGAACAGAAGCAACTCCGGACCATAGACATGAAAGCGCCAAGCCGCGCTTCTATCATCATCGCGGCCAAACCCCGAGGCCAAAAAGGAATTTTTTTTCCCTAACCGGAAGATAAAACAAGGTATCGTGTGAGTGTGTGTGAAAAGAGTGCAAAACTAAAGTCGAATCGCAGGCGCCGTCGCTCGCAATAGGATGAAGCATAGCAGAGAATCTAATAGAAGTGCTGTAGGTCGTCATCGGAGAAAAGTGTATATACAGAAAACACTAGTTTATCCTCTTAGGTTTCTTGCGCTCGTAAAAGAAACTTCGGTTGAGTCGTGATAAGATGCGACGGCCGTATGGAAGTAAGTACCAGAAGAATTATGACCGGCGGTTAGGGAATCGCGATGATGCAGAAGCTGAGACAGCAGAAGAAAAACATGCCATGACCGAAGGTCTCTGTCACTGACAAGGCGACCTGGCAGATAGCAGTCCTCACCACCGCCGCTGAGCATTCTGCATCGCACCAGGCGAAATGGACGTGGGTGGGCTGGTCAATGTCATTCCGGTGTTAGGATTGACGATGGGAATGACTTTGCGAGTGCGGACCGCCGACGGCTGTTGGAAGCTCATATTAAGATTACTGGTAACCCCTGAATGCACGAATGTATTGGTGGATGCGGGAGACAAGGAGATGGATGGCGTGACCTGCTGGACAGGCTGAATCTGATGCTGAAGAGGAGACGAGTCGGGAGAACCGCTGGAGAGCGACGACCGATCCGAGGAAGCAGAGTGAATTGAGTGTAGCTGTGATTTCGTGTGTTAATAAAATGCCTCGAATTTAGCTGGTTGGAGGGGTCCTAGGCGCTCGGCCAATATCTGAGGGAACGGGATGTCCGAGAACCGGGCTGTCATAACATACATCGTCCTCTGTAAGGAGACCCGGGCAGAACTCCAGGTCGTCGTCCAGGTCGAAAGACCGTCCAGCTTCAAACCGTACACGGAAGGCAGTCACAGCAGGGGCTTCGGCAAGTTCCCTCATACTCTTCACACCGCGGAATTGACGTTGAGCATTCTGAGATGCCATCTTGGGCCCTCTACGGGAGCGGCCGTTATGATGGTTGTTCGATGATGGCATGTGGCTAGTAGCACCCTGATGGGGGTGCTGCTGGTGATGCTGCTGGTGATGGCCGTAGAAGAAAGTAGACATTCTGATGTGATTTGTGGTGGCGAATAGAGGGGACAGATGTATGTTAATGTTACTGACTCAGGTTTTCGAGGTGATTACAGAAAACCAGCACAACTCGATACCTGAGGATAACAAGAACGTCTCGCAAGGCGAAATGAAAGGGTATAGACGGAAGAATGCAAGTATAAGACAAAGATACAAAGGGGATGTAGTAATGATAGTACTAAGGAAGAAGAGTGGAAGATGGGGGAGTGAAAGCAAAAGGTCGGGTCGATTTTGTTTTAGTTGGTTGTGGGATGGGGAATCATGAGTTGATGGGCGGGACAAGAGGTAGAAAAGAAGAACCGGGAGCGAAGAAAAAGGGAAGACGATGCTCGGAGCGGACGGAGGCAACAGGCCAGGAGGGGCTGCAGTTGTTTTGCTGGGGCTGAGTGTCCTCAATCCTTAGGAGCTGGTGGAGCCCTTGCAAAGGCAGTACCAGATCAGTACACTGTTTACCATACAGTTAACCTGGCATGTAATAATGAAGTTGGTCCTGACGAGGGATTGTATGGTAATATCTGCGTTCCACTTTCGGCGCTAACAAGGTCACGCAGCACTCTTAGGGCAGCCAGAATCCAACCAGAAGTCCGTCCGCGGCATCTGAGTGGCAAGGTGGGAACTAGGAAGCCCAATGGTATCCATCTACTGGAGCTGCAAGTGGAGAGAAAACAGCCACTTTGAATAAAAGCCAATAGTATTGCTCTAATATTGCTAAAAGCAGTTAGTGAGTGGTCCTAAGTGACGTCTTTTAGTTACAAGCTAATCTTATCCTGGCAAATTTATCTCCTCCCGGGTCTTTGCACTGAAATCTGGGCTGGCTTGATTAGGTTTAGCGGGCAATCCTGAGGCGATACTGCCATTACTTGATGGTGCAGCTGTAGATGGGCAAAGATGAGGAGATTAAGGTAATGTTATTCTGCCTTTATTTTCCTGCTTCTAGTTTGGAATCTGTAGGCTGTTGGTATGAGGATCAATAATGTTCCTGCTAATGACTGTTATTCATTAAATATATGACCTAAAATGGTGCAGCACAATGATGACTACGCATAGCTGTTTTGTAATCTCCTCAAGTAGACCGTATGCCTGTCAGTACCATGCACACGGGTTGCCGCTGGTGGATGTACAGGGAGCTTTTTCTGGCTTCTATGGAAGTTTTAGATCCTCAAAGCTATTATTGACATTTGCTATTGTCCTTTGACTATTCCTGGACGAGTAAAGAAAGGAGAGAGAATGTAGTCCGGAACCGTAAGGTACTGGTATGACAGACAGGCATGCGTTGCAACCTGCAACCTAGGAAGCCGCAGCCAGCAACCGCCATTGCCCCTCGATATCTGCGGGTAATGATTGCACTCCACCCACTCTTTGCGCTTTGATTCGTGGTCGTCACTCTCGGCAAGGTACCATGACTTAGGTCCTCTTGAACCGTGCCATCTGGTCCTGGGGCAGTCTTAGGCTTGAATATCTGGTCAACAGTAACAATGTCTGCAAGATCATAAGGTATGTAGGATGCGTACAGACATTGTTCGCCAGAGTTCCAGAAGTAGACCTTCCAGCGCCAATTTGAGGTATCCTCTATGTCTGAGAGACGTTCTTGACCAGGTACCTTGCTGTCAAAGTAGATTGAACACATCTCTTCCAGAAGTCGGATGGGATTAGCTGCCGTTGGAGTCGATCAACCAGTGATAAGTACACATGATTCGTAAGGTACAATAACCCAAAATTCGAACCATGCGTCTTCTTGGTAACCAATATCAGAATACGAAGAAGATCCTCGCAAGAAGGCTGTACGGGGTTCCAAAGTTAATTTAATGGCAATCCTTGGATACTCTATGAAGATGTCTCAACTGATAAGGGTAGAGATAATCGCTCCTTCAAGCAGAAACGCGTAGAATCATGCTGAGTGTGGCAACAGAGAAACATCTTCCTCAACAGCGGCTAATGAAGCGCTTCGCAGGGGCATATCTGCTCACAGTACGGAGTAGATAGGATCATGCATGCCATCGGGCCATACAGCCCCTCTCCTTTCCTTGCACTACTGCACCTCGACTCCTGGGGATCAGGATGCGTTTCTTCTTGTTTCTCCTGGGTGCATGGTTGGGCACTAGTCTCATTGGTCATTGGTGCAAAACGTTCCCTCCTGCATAATGCATGAGCTGTTAACATCATTTCAAATTTATCAAATCTATCTCCTAAGTTTATGACCTTGGTCAGGGATAACTAAGTGTAGGCACTCTCCAAGTACTCCAAAGTCGTCTCACCGCTCCTTCCATCATTTTATGATTTGGGGTCTTACGATGGGAGTTTCAGCCTTCCGAAGTCTCCTTATTGAATGTGAGGGGTCCCAAGACAGGACGAAGAGTTACCCCTCACAAGGTTCAAACCTTGTTTGCAATCCTGCTTGTATTGCATATCGTTATGATCAATCTCATGGCGACTGTTCGCTCCATCCCCCTCAAATCCAGCACTGACGTACTCGAGCCAATTTAGGTGACTCAGTGGGAGGTGTCCAACAGTTTCATCAGAGCCCAGTGCCTTCCACCTACTTTTCATGATGGATGCCCATCAAAATCAGTTCAATATGCGGCCTGCACTTGACACTACTGTTCTTACACTGACAGAGCAGTTACCCTGATTCAAGATATCTGTAAACATAGGTAGTATTTCCGGATTCGCACGGCCTAGCTTCTACTGCTGTGAAGGAGGAGCCACAACAATGTGTCCAACCCGAAGCAATATTCTCAATGACCACCCTAAGAGGAGATTCACACGTCTCACTGCCTTCCGGGGCGTTCTCAGCTCGGGAATATGACAGTCGCGATGGCAGTACGGAAAATGATCATTGACTAAAAGCGCGGCATCTCGTCAATATCCTTCTGAACGAATGAATACTCCCCATGTCGGCGGATCACTGGCTAGCAGCCATTGCTATACATGGTCTGCTTCAGCTAGCAGTTGCACACGATCGGCCAACTAGGCTTATCACTTCGAATAGCCGGAAGAACAGCCATTGGAGTCAAGTGAAGCTGCCTACTCCTTCAGGAGTTGTGGGAATAGAGAAAACTCGGCAGGCGTAGTTTGCAGGAAGGGAGGAAAAAGTAACCTTCCAACTTCTTCAAGATACTGTAAGCTAGCAGGGTATGATCTAGCGATGATCGCCTGCAAAGCAACAAGCCCCGAAGGGCGCATATAATTTAGCCGCCCTGTTAATCCTAGGTGGTTTTAGCACGGCTGACAGACGAAAAGCCCTATTTTCACACCCTGTGGCCGTAGATGCTATAACATTGCTAAGCGAGCCACGAGAGGATCTTAATTGCATACCAAAAGCTATGGGCCCTCATGTCGAAATGACCAATATCTTTAAGATTGAGATAGTGAGCACTCCACCATGCCTGCGAGTGAGCAAGGATAGACCGAGCTTATGGGTATATGTCCGCGACATGGTAAATGACCGAACAACAGTGTAAGCCAAGACTGCGCCTAGAACATGCGAATGCAGCAACTGAAGACCTTGAACGCCATTTTAATGCCCGTGAAACTAAGATCAAATGCAGGCCAGCGTCATTTGTCCAGATTTTTGGTTTTGACCATCCGCCCGAGTAGTTCCTTGCAAGTCTTCTCGCTGTACTGCTCCCAAACTTCATACAGAGACACCAATTCCTGGGTGCATTCTATGACTCCTCTGATGTCGACTTCACTCTCAGCAAGCCAGCTGATGAGTTTCTGAATTTTGGGAGGAGGCCCGGAACCAGTCCGGTCTCCTAAAGCAGCCAGCACATTCATTCCACCATCCCTCATTGCGCCGGCGAGGACGGGCGCCGCAGACCCGTGAAAATTTCCCGAACTTGGCTTGAAGACAACTGCGACAATAATCGCCATGACCGCAATGACATGAGGCGCGTATAGGAGAGGTAGGTCCGTCAAGTAATGATCATTGACCACAGACCATGCGAGAGCAACCTCATCCGACGTGAGTGACAGTTCGGGTTGAAGCTCTGATAATGTTCGATATGGATGGTGCACAATGAGTTGCGAGTTCATCTCTGATATCAGGGAGAATTCACATTCGCCTAGTTTGGAAACATCCGGAGTAATGAACTCTGATATGTGTTAGCGATGGTACGCAAAAACGCACGTAGGATGCTATACCTGGCCAGAGGCTCCGGGCTTCACCGACAACAAAACGGATATGTTGCGGACACTCTTCCATTTTGCAGGCGAGATAGAAGGCAGTCGTGAGAACAAGATACGGGTTTGTATGCCTGATCTCATTCTTCGTATAGAATCGCTTGATATACACCTGAGCAGTCGCAAGAGCTTGCTGCCTAGTTGACATTCGCTTTCCAAGTTTTATAAGTTCTGCTTGTAATCAGCCCGACCCTGTTCTTGAGATACATATCGGGCTCTCGCTTACGCTGACTGAAATAGATATTGAGTAGTCTCTGGTCTGGTAGAGGGAACTGAGAATGAGCAACTTTATCGCTTTCTCGAAACATTTCCCGAATCTCCGCCAATTTCTCTCTTGTAAACAGCCAATGTCGACGCTGGGTCGACGCCCAATAGTTGGCCGCCATTTCTGTCTTTGTGATCAAGCACCTGGATATTGCCTTATTTCTTCAGGTTGATAGATTCRTCATGATGGCACTAGAGGTAACAACTGATATGGGCATATCACTCGTAACCAGAGCACCGTATGAGTCGCCTTGACGCAGTGAAAAAGCACAGATGAAAGTGTTTTGAGGGATCACTTGAGATCAAGTGTCCAAAGAACGAGTCTAGATATATTAGACAGCAAGAAATCTTGCATGCAGTTCATCATCACTTAATATGCCGTTCGAACATATGTAATCTGCCCAGGGTGAAAGCTTTCCCAAAGGGGACTAGTAGGGTTGGGCCCTCTGGTCCCGTGAACCGGGCCGGAACCTGCTTTTCTTCCGGCTGATGTCGTAAGGGAAAAGCAAATCATCGCGGCTGGATTTCTCAGGCGAGTTGTGTTGGGCTTGATTTCATTAACAACTGCAATAATAATGCATAGCATATAGCGGCTTTTCCTTCATATTGCAACGCCCACGGATTCGATGCACCAGTCATTGCGAAAATTTACAAATCCCTTCCCTCACAGGGAAAGCTCCGACCTTAAATTTCTGTGACCTCTCTGAAAATAATGACGGATCCTTGGCTATAGTCGATAAACATCGAACATGGAAATCGGCGAGTCCCAAGATGAACGTGACCAAAGAGTTGCAAAACTCTGGGAAAGCCTGGACGTCCAGAAAAAAGGTCAACTCGATATCAATGGCTTGAAGAAGGGGTTCAAGAGGATTGACCATCGTGAGCATACTCCCTGACCGGATCCCGTGCGCCTTGAGCAGCTGACTGACCTGGGCTATCGCAATCTTGATAGCTCTGAAAAACGCGGATGACATGGTACGAAATATCTTGCAGACGGTCGACACCAACGGCGATGGATACATTGACTTCTCTGGTAAGATCATACGGACTTTGTCAGGAGCTTTCTCTCCTGCTACAAACTGGTTTAATGCCAGTTTTTCTTACCCGCCTAATGATGATTAGAATTTCGAGCTTTTGTCGACCATACCGAGCACGGGCTATGGCAACTCTTCCAGAGCATCGATCGCAACCAGAATGGAGTGATAGACAAGAATGAACTGAGGGCTGCCTTTTCCCGTTCTGGGATCACGTTGTCGAGCGCTAAGCTAGACGCCTTCTTTGAGGATGTTGACTCAAACAAGGATGGTGTCATTTCATATCCAGAGTGGAGGTATGCGCATGAAGGGTCAGATGAAGTTGCTAGTGACGACTGACCGTTCAACCTTAGGGACTTCCTTCTATTTCTTCCCGCCCATTCGCCGTCCGACCTGCACGCCGTTTTCTCATATTATACGGCCACGGGCAATCTAAACCCGGAAGGAGATGTCCACATCAATGATCTGCAGGGTTTAGGTACAGACCACTCGTTTCTTAAGCGTTATCTTTTGGCCATCAAAGACATTTTGTACAATATCTTCCCTGTGCACGCTTTGACAGCCTTGGTTCCATCAGCTTACGCCGAAGCCGGCGGGACGTTATTGTTGGGCGCCGCGTTAGAGCATGATTCTCTCCCTTTAGACGATGACTTCGAGTTGGAGTGGCTGCCCATATCCAGGACTGTCGCCATGTGGATGTCCTTCCGATATTATGAACAGAAGTTGACCGAGAACACTCCTCACTTAGGTTATTTTCTTGCGGGCGGGATCGCAGGCGCCGTATCAAGAACAGCCACCGCGCCTTTAGATCGACTTAAAGTTTATCTTATCGCCCAGACTGGCGCGAAGAAAAGTGCTGCTCAGGTGGCGAAGGATGGTGCTCCATTGAAGGCAGCTGGCTGTGCTTCCAGGACACTTGTCGGTGCGGTAAAGGAGTTATGGCGTGCCGGCGGGATACGGAGCTTGTTTGCCGGTATGTTAACTGCTTATAGTGTCACGGAATCTACTGACAGCCAGAAGGCAACGGCTTGAATGTCGTTAAAGTTATGCCCGAATCAGCCATCAAATTTGGAGCCTACGAGGTATGACATGACTTTCCACGCAGGCGAGTTTCGGTCAGCAATTAATGATATGATGAATAGTCTGCAAAACGTGCCTTCGCTCGTCTTGAAGGACACAACGATCCTAAACGACTCCAGCCTACGTCGCAGTTCCTGTCCGGTGGATTTGGTGGGATGGTGGCCCAGTATGTGACGCTATCTCCCCGCAAAACAGTGTTATCTAACAGTGATGTAGATGCTTTGTCTACCCTCTTGATACCCTCAAGTTGTAAGTCCTGGTGGTCCAGTAAAAATATTCCATTCTAAAGCTAACTGACCCGTCTTAGCCGAATGCAATGTGACACCGTCGAGGGTGGCTTGAAAGGCAATCAGCTTATCGCGGCTACTGCTCGAAAAGTGTGGAACAGAGCAGGCCTCCTGGGCTTTTTTCGTGGTTTGCCTCTAGGCCTCATTGGCATGTTTCCTTACGCCGCCATCGATCTGTCAACCTTCGAATATTTGAAACGCGTTCTCCTTGCACGGCAAGCCCGGCTTAACCACTGCCATGAAGATGATGTTCCCCTCAACAACTTCACCACAGGAGCAATCGGTGCTCTGAGCGGCGGGTTCAGCGCTTCCGTTGTTTACCCATTGAATGTCCTTCGTACCAGACTACAGGCCCAAGGCACTGTACTTCACCCCACAACATACACCGGTATCGCTGATGTTGCGCGAAAAACACTCCAAACTGAAGGCCCTCGTGGCTTTTACAAAGGACTTACGCCAAATCTTCTCAAAGTAGCACCCGCCGTGTCGATCAGCTACGTTGTATATGAGAACTCGAAACGAATGCTTGGACTGAGATAACACTTCAGCCACCGGTGCGAAGAGTCGCTCTTCGCTTCTCTCTAACCCTTCTAGTTTCTTCCTTTTTAGAATATTTTGCCAAGATACCCATAAAGCCAAGTCGCTATAAGTGGCAAGCCCCTTCTCTCGGTTGGGATTCCCTTGCCTGCCTTCCCCGTTTATCGGGCTTTTGTCCCGTCTAACCATTCGAACTCTCTCTTGTTTCTGAGCCTATATTTTGTGCATTGACATCGCGATGCGACTCATCCGACTCATGGTCCGCCGCTGATGGTCATTTGGGGACGGTTTTGCATAGCGACCACCCTTAGCATGGCAAGGCGTCGCGAGGTAATGCATATGGTGGCGTTTGTCCATATTTGTTGCATTCCTTTTCTTCATTCTTGTATAACCAAGGATCTGCGGGTCCTACTGGAAATATCTGGAACAATATATCTACATTTCATGCTTCACAGCGTTTACTTCTGACTCAGGTAACAACAGAATAGATCCATCTGTCAATGGGACTCGAATTCTTTTATCCAATTGGAGTATACTGTGACATGTATTCCCATAAGATTGCCCATCAAATACAGTAGTAGATCCTTCACTTACTGTCGTGCAGCAACGGCTCTCACCTCTTCCTCTTTAGGAAGAATGTCTGGAACCGGCCCGACAGGAGTAATAGCAAACTGATTGATCTGCTTATGACTCTTTGTATAGTGTTTCTTAATGTGCTCAAAATTCGTCGTCTCCCGGAACGCGGGAATATCCCAGTAAAGGTGACGCACCCAGCGATGAATGGCCGGGTACCCGGAGCGAATATCACGAATGTTACACTTGAAGTGCTGCACGTAGACGGGGTCAAAGCGGACGATAGTCGTGAAAAGTCGGATATCGATCTCGGTGATGGATGAGCCGAAGAAGTACGGGGAGTTGGCGTCCTTTGAGAGATGTGCTTCGATCCTGTCGAGGGAGGCGAACAGGGTCGTCACAGCCTTCTCGTAGGCTTCCTGCGTCGTCGCGAAACCAGACTTGTAGACGCCGTTGTTGACGTCGTTGTAGGTCCAGTCGTTGGTGGCGTCGATCTCGCTTCGGAGAGCGGGAGGGTACAGGTCGACGTTCCTGTATTTTTCGGGAAGGAGATCATCGAATTCGTAGTAGAACATGCGAATGATCTCAGCGCTCTGTTCGAATGTTCAAATCAGTAAGAGTTCAGGCGACACTGGATAGAGTGGATATCAACGTACCTCATTGCTCACGATGCGTTGCGTCTTCTTATCAAATAGCACTGGGACGGTGAATCTTCCAGTATAATCGGGATCATTGGAGAAGTATATGGCACGCAGATGCGTGAAATCAGGATGCAACGGGTCTGGGGTGACATTCTTTCCTGCAACCTCTTCGTCGGCTGTTGCAAAGCGCCAGCCTTTCCAGCAGAAGATATTAGCTTCGTTCTTTAGCGGCTTCAAATCTGGAAATCCATACCATTTTCGCCCAAATGCCAGTGGACTGATGTAAACGAGATGATATCCTCGAGACCCTTGAGCTTCCGTGTGATCAATGTCCGGTGTGCTGCGTCATGAGAAGGGTGTTAGCCGTCGTGCCTTACACTTGAGCAACGGAGAGGTCTCCAAGAGAAAGCGCACCCCAAGGACAGGCATATGAGACATAAAGATGATAGCGATTCTTCTCCGGAGGAAATTGAGCACCAGGCTCTCTGGAGATGAAGTTGCGGAACACCGATTGCTGCCGCTTGAATTCGCCCGACTTGTCTTTGGGGTCCACCCAATCGGTAATTTTGCCTGTATTGCCTGTCTATTTGGCAAGGAGCATAGGTCAGTTAAAAGGCTTTTGAGACATGTTGAATGAGAGCCAGCTTACGGCCATGTTGCGGATTGGAAAGAGAGGTTGTCTTCGGATATTGGAGCTTCCGTAAGTTGACAGGGAACTGCGAAACCCGGCAGTTGTTATGGACCTCGAGATATGTCGCGAGACCAGTTGGGTTCGAGGGAGCGCAGCAAGCATGAGATATTACCGAGAATTTCAATATAATCAAAGAGAGGAAATGACGCCTTTAATAGATAACGGGTTGCTATCTCGACGGACCAGTTGGGGTGCGGGGGACAATGACGTTTGCTTACTCTGTGCTTACGGATGGATCGCATAAACTCTGACAAAGCTTATAGAGCACCCTCATTTCCA